TACCTAAACTGCATCATCAGATTGAAGGACATCCCTTCAAAATGCTTAAAATACTTAAAATAATAGGAACTAAATAATAGGACCTGCTTAATATATGTGTCCTCATACATTAAGATGAGTAAAATGAGCAGTTGAATAATAGTGACGTTCATGGAAAATTGCCAAAGTTGTCCTGATTGCCTTAGAATATGGGGCTTCTAGTCCAAAATTGTCTTCAGTAGGTAGTGTATGCCATGCCCATAGAATCATGGACACCCAACTAGTCCCAGGGTTTAAGACACACGTTCTCCAACTTTATTTTCTCTGCACAAGCACCACCTCATGTTATATGTGAGAGTACTTAAAAAAAACTTGTGGGAAAATAATAAAAGCTTATTTTGGTGCAAAAAATTGTGAAATCTGTGCATTTTTTCATAATATACATTTTCTGTGAACTTCTTAGACCCTCATATGCAAGGATTTGCTGTGCCAAAATAAACTTTCATTTTCCATAAACTTTTTGACAAACCTTCACAGCACTCTCCCAGTACATGTTTACCAAAAGAATGAACTGGACATTTCCACAATTATATCTCCACTTCTTTTGTTCTTGTGTTGCGGATTTTGCCTATGATGTGGTAAATGTGAGAGGAAAAATAAAAACTGAATAGTTTTAACAAAAAAACAGTAGCATCACTTCCTCTGGAGAGAAACCAAGAGTAACAAGTGAATATTGTGAATGAGGCCACAGGTTAAGATCAGGGCGAGAGGGCTGCTCTGACTTCAAGTCTGCGGTTCTGATCATCTCCATGAACCAATGCCCCTCCACAAGGCAGGAAACCCTGCAAGACCAGAACTGGCCAGTCGGCCACCTCCTTCTACGCCCTCCAGCTCTGCCTCGGTCACCTGGCAAACATCGGTAAAACGACAAAGCATTTTCTTGCTACTTGGACAATTCCAGAAAATCCACATCTCATTTGTCCAAAAGTCCTACTGATTCTTTGCATTTCACCTGAGACAGTGCTACTCTGCACATCCTCATCTGGACTGTGTGTGTCTTACATTCCCCTGCCCTGGTCCTCTCCAATATTGTCCATCACAATATCCCATGATGCCTGTTTGCTTCACCTCTGTGAGTACCCATCTTCTTCATCTCTGATGCCAGCTCCAGCTCCGTGTGATAGAATAAAGGGAGCAGGGGGGAGGGTGAAGAGAAGAAAAACCAGAAGGGAAGAAGGGAGGGGAGGATGAGCGTGCTCAGCCACACAGAGACCTTTAGAATAAAGCCTCCCTCTCAAAGAGCAGTTGTAATTCCACTATCTTCACAGCCTATGAAAAGCCTTCTCATTATTAGTAAGAACCAGAAATCCTAAGAGCTGTCACAAATGCTGTGCACATGCGTATGCTAGCAGCCAGAGGCGACAGCCAGGTGGAGCTTACAGACTGCTTTGCAACATCCCACAAAATGGTGAAGGAAAAGCCCGCATGAGTGGCTTTCAAAATAAGTCTCTCCAAGCTGGGCCATGAACATTGGCCATGATGCATGGGGAGAGCAGAACCAATGTTTACTTTTAACTCCTTAGCTCCCGGAATTCCTGGCTAAGTCTACTAATACCAATGGAAATCATAACTAAAAACATAAACATAAAAGACCTTCCACAGGGGACAGGAGGAAAAAAAAAAAAAAACAGAAAGTGCCAGTGCCTTGGGCAATTCAGATATACAGTATGCCACAAACTGTTTTAATTAAAATTAAGTTTCTAGGATAGAAGCTGGAATTTAGGTGGAGTATAATGAGAATTCTAAGAATTTTCTCTTTTACCATTAACCAAAATAGCCAAGAGGCTTCAGAACAGTTTGACCCAAGCACCAGATGTCCTCATTTCCACAGCTAGTGGACAATTTAGCAAGGGAGGCTTCCAGAGGACTTCAAAAACATTCATGGAAGTGGAAGGAAACTATATGTTTATTTGGGTATACACACAAAAAAATGTGAAAGCCATGCAGTCTTTCATAATATGCATCTTCCCTGGGATACTCATTTTCCCTTTCTTCTCAAAGAAGATTACAGAAGACTATTTCTCATTTCTGCATGTTTCTCTCTGGTGAGGAAAAGATCACATCAAAAACTTGCTAAACATACACAGGAACACAGAGGTACACCGAGTAAAACACACAAAAAATCACACTGTCCATATGTTTGCCCCCAAACTCTGTGGCCAGGGTCATTTTACAAACCTGAGTCCCTGAATTTGGGGCTGTGTATTGGAATAGGCAGGGGCAATTTATTATCATTCCTCCTCACAACACCTCTAAGAAAATATCAGTGTTCACATGTGAAATGCCTACAGATACATGTGGGCATCGTGTAGTGTGGCGCACACACACACACACACACACACACACACGAGGGGAGCTTCTGAATCCATCTGGCATCCCCCCCCCCATCCCCACCATTTATTTCACTGCTCTTTCATCCAAGGGATGAGCAGTGCACTGAAATTTGGCACGTCTCAAGGTCAGGTGATGCTGCAAACAGAATGTGACCGCAAACGATATGTCTCTGTCCATTCTCCCATCCACATAAAGATGCACACAACACACACCCACCACATTTTGCTTGCTGCAAGTTCAGAAATCTTCATCCCAGAGGATTACTCGCTCCTTCCCCAATGCCTACAGAAACCACAAGCCCTCAACACACACACAGCTGTAAGAGCAAGGAAAGTGTGCTTTTCAATTTCCAGTGGTTCCTGTAGGCACAGCACCTAAAGCAGTTCCAAAATGGACATCAAGTTAAAAAAAAAATACCAATTTTCAAAAGTCTGTAATTATGTATTTACACAAATTACATAATCCTGTATGTATTTACATACAATTACAGATTATCAAGCAAAATAACACAAGCTTGTAGTGTTAACGAGATGAAATAGAATGAGAATACCATCAACAGGACCTGGCAGGGCAGGCCCCCAACACTGACCTCTCAAATCCTTCCACACTGCATGACAGATGGGAAGGGGGTTCGGTCCATGCCCAGTCAACTTTTGCAGTGCCAATGCTGGCACCAAGAAGATCATGGTTTGGCTCTCTGGGCGTCTGTCTATGAAGCTGGAACTACCAGCTCCACAGTGGCTCCGGCTGCCATCCAACAGACTTTGGGTCTCATTAGGACACGAACCTGATGTGAAGCCATGGGCTGGGGACGACTCACTCTACTGCCCAACAGCACAAAGCCCGTGCCTGGACCCTGAGCCACCTACTCTCTCAGAACACCTATTTACACAAATTGCATAAGTCAATATTTATTTATTTACAATCATTACAATTTATTGTATCAACTGCCAAAAGCATATAACATTTTTGCTCTTCTTTAAAAAAAAAATAAAAGGTCTCAAAACAAAATAACTCCAAAAGTAGACGTTAAAGTAGCATTTGCTAGGAATGCACAGAGATTTTAGTCTTTGTCACAATTCTTTTCCTTTTAGACTGATTATCCAGAGACTCGTGCTACTTTAAGATTACTTTTGGCTGTCTTCTAAAATGAATTTCTTCAGTGCTAAATAGTATACCTAGGACATCCTAGAAACTTGATTCATCCCTGTGGTCAAATGTTTAATGGTTTTCTGGCAAAAAACTTAGATGCCTTTTAGAAAAAAAAAAAAAACTAAAGCCTGAATATGTCTGTAGCAGCAGCAAAAGGTTAAATAATAAATAAGAGTACTTCTCAGAATTCAGAATTAAAAGCAGTTTCTGTTCAGAAAGCAAAAAAAAAAAAAAAAAAAAAAAAAAAAAAAAAAAAAAAGAGAGAGAGAGAGAGAGAGAGGGAGAGAGAGAAGAAAGAAAATCCAGAAAGTAAATGAAGAGGACATTCTGCCCTTTATCATAAATCAACTGTTTCATATTGCTTCTGTCCCCTCCACCCAAAATATTTCTTAATTCCAAATCTTAGAGTTAGTTTTCCTTAATGCGTATCAGTAGGACAGCACTCCCACGTAGTCCACCTTCACCACGGAAAGGCTACGTGTATGCGCTCACGGCAGTTAGTCATGCGCTCCTGGTTCATAACCACTTTAACTCACCAGTGACACACTTTTATTTGTCGTAGAGAATGTGCATCAGAGCAAAACAAAATTGGAAGATTAAATTTTAAAATTAGTTACACAAATCCCAACACATTTTTAACTGTCACTTTCAATTCCCCAACATAACCGGAGAGTGTGCGTTATAAATGGGCAACAATTTGTTTGAAATTCTTTTCTCTTAAATATTGCTTTAAGAATTTGGCTCTTTTCACCTTTAGTAAGAAATCGTGTCCCTTGCTCCAGAGCAAGGTCCAAAATTATTGCTTCAAAGGAAATATGTTTTCTTAGGCTTCTCAGCATAAAGTCTTATAAAAGCCTTGTAGAAGATATTCTACACAGTGACCTCCCCTCTTAAAAATAAAAAAAAAAGAGAGTGCTTATGAAGACCATGTTTAAAAACACAACACATCCAACAACTATAATATGTTCCCCCTCATTGTCATTATTGATATAGATTTATTAGTTTCATTTTGCAACATTTATTTTAAGAATGTAAGCAATAGCACTTGACGGGTGCTATTACATAATTACGACAGTTCACACCAAAAGCCATTCTCTATAAAAGATGTTACAATGAACCCCTACGGTACTTGCATAATTTCATATTTGATAGCCAACTGCACAAATAAAAAGTTTACAAGAATGATCCTATTAATCTCTTGTCTTTCCCCATTCCCTCTTAAAAAAAAAAAAAAAAAAGCTTGCACTATGTGTAAGCTTTTTTCTCTCTCTCTCTCTCTCTTTTCTTGAGAATTTTAAATCAGTAGGAGGTTTGATGGGAGTCCCGCCACTCTGGAGGTGGGCTGAAAGAGAAGTGCAGTTACTGTTTAGCTTTGGTCTATTCTGTGACTGCCCCAACCCTCAGATTTTCCAACCGTGAAGTTACAATGATGGAGTCCCTTAGGAGAGAGGAAATATTACACACACAGAATAAAAGGTTGAGACCCAGTTTATCTTTAATCCTCTGGGATAAGCTATGAAACAAGCAGTCTGAAGAGTGAATACTCAGTGTCATGAGCGATGTGCATAAGTTTACAATAATACGGGCACAAAATAGATTGTCGCCTTTAGTACATTGGGGGTCGTCAGAGCTCCTCGTATCCATGCACCGTGAGACCTCCTCGCATGAACTGACCACAGGTTCATAGCGGACTTTTCCATTTAATGCTTACAGAGCCTAAAGCTTCCAAAATGCCTATCTGGCCTGTACATATTTCATTAAAAATAAACTCTATATAATAAATAAATATATAAAATAAATAAAATGTTGCCTTTGGAATTTCTATAAATAAATTTAACTTTTTTTTCTTTTTTTTTTTTTTTTTTTACTAAGAGGTCTTTGCTTTAAGTTCACTGGGATGACACCAGTGAGAATTAACTGAAAAAAGTCTTTTACGTAAGAACTGCACCCTCCATGCCTTTGAAAATGCAGCAGACCCTTGCGCAGGCCACCAGCCAGCATCCTGATGAGTCGAAGTATGGCAGCTGTGCTGATATAGGATGAAGTACAACTGATCAAAAATTTAAAAGCGTGTCTATTTCCCAGCATGCATCAGGCCGTGGTCCTCTCTGCTCTCCCCCTGCGCCTCACCCACGCACCCATTCACTCACACACACACACACACACACCCCTCACACTCACGCCTTCTTGCACACTAAATCAAGCAGGGGGCCCTCGGCAGCCCTCCGGGGGGATGAGCCTTTAAGTGCAGAACAAAATCAGCATGTTCCCATCCAATGCTCCATCAGACATTACGCATGCGACAAAGTTTGGCAACAGTGGAGCTGAGGTGACGACACAGCTAATCAATAAGAACCCACTGCATGAAACCTTTATAGTGGTTACTTTTTTTTTTTTTAAGGGCTCAAGTGAAGAAATTGTCTTTGTCAACTTTGGCTTAGAATATCCTTATATAGTTCAGGTACTTTGTCGGGGTCCACTGGTCTAGGTAAAAAATGGGTGAATTTCTGGTGCCGTTTAGTCCTCGTGCCTTCTCGAGGGGTGCCGTCTTTATTTAATGCAACATAGTATCGCCTTCCAGTGTCCACGTGTTTGTACAGGTTCGATGAGTAGGTGTTATACCAGTTTTCTTCAAACTGTTCTCTGAATACACACTCTTGGGTTAGTTTTTCCTGTTAAGAAAAGAAAAGAACAGAAATAAGTACCCTGCAAAATTAGCTACTTTCTGCAATTAGCTGCAACGTAGGACAGGTTGAGGATCCCTTATCTGAAATGCCAGAACCATTGTAGATCTCTGGTATTTTTTCATTTTGAAGAGTTTGCCTATAAGTAATGAGATATCTTGGGCAGGGGACCCAAGTTTTAATATGAAATTCATTTGCATTTCATAGACACCTTGTATACACACCATGAAGGTAACTCTATACGGTACTTTTAATAGTTTTTGTGCATGACACAAAGTTTCCTGGAGTGGAACTGTCCACCTGAGATGTCAAATCAGTGCTCAAACATTCAGACTTGGGAACATTTTAGGTCTCAGGTTTCTGGACTAGAGATGATCAACCTATATAACCCTCATGAGAAAATGCTGATTTGTAACCCACTTTAGTCCCTTAAACACATTTTGCAAACACTTCTGAACTCGACCAATCTAACAGCGTTGTAACTCCCCTTTTATAATCACTCTTCTCCACACTTTCCCATGGAACGCTTCCAGATGCCAATGATGGGGTGAGGCACGCGCAAAGGACGAGGAAGGCGCTGGGTCATTCTCGGTTTTACTGTGGCAATTAGCTGGTGATCTGGACGGGCACCTCTGTGCCAAAGCCAAAGGCTCAGGTAATGCTTCATCTTTAAAGCGTTTTTTCCAAATGCTTCTCCGTAGACCGACACAAGCAGTACCGCCAGGGATGCCGGGGCCTTCTGCCCTTCTGCTCTCTGAGAGCAGATTTCAGGCTTCAGTGTGCAGTAGAATTACCCAAGGTGGTTTTTTTCAAAATGCATATTTCTGACCTCCAACGCTTTCAAATTCTGATCCAGAAATTCCTGCATTTTTAGCAGGCCCCTGGGAGAATCCTGGCGCATAGAATGATCAGTGTACCTTTTTTAATATTTATTCATTCATTTTTATTTCTTTAAAAGGCTAGGTGACAGAGAGAGAGAGCGTGCCAGATCATCTCTCTGCTGGTTCACTCCCCAAGTGCCTACAACAGCCAGGGCTGGGCCAAGCCAAAGTCAGGAGCCAAGAACTCCATGCAGGTCTCCCAGGTGGGTGGCAGGGACTCAGTATCTGACCCCTCCCCTGCTGCCTCCTGGGAAGTTACCTTAGCAGGAGCAGGACTCTGGGAGGCAGGCATTCCAGTGGCAGCTTAACCTGCTGAGCCACAATGCCTGCCCCTCAGTCTACATTTTAAAGGACACTGTTGTCCCTCAGAACCCTGCAGGGACTGATTCTAGAACCCCCAGAACCTTCCTCCCCCACAGATACCAAAAGCCACATTATAAAAGTCCCTTATAGAAAAATGACCTAGTATTGAAACAGAATCCACACATATCTTCCCATAGAATGTAGGTCATTTCTAGATGACTTACAGTAGCTGACACAATGCAAAGGCTGCATAGAAATTGTTAGACAGTACTGTTTAGGGGATAACGACAAGGAAAGAAAGTCTGCACATGTTTAGTACAGATGACATTTTTCCTCAAATTTCAACTGAAATTTCCATCCTCAGTTGGTTGAATCCACAGATTCGGAGCCATGGACAGAAAGGGCCACCTGTAATATTTCCGATGACTGAGTGGATTTCCTTGAATACAAAGAAATAAAACAAATATTCAGGCCCCATAATTCCCTTCAAGCTATAAAGGTGAAGAGCCCGCCACTTTCTCGGGCACACAGCCACAAGAGGAAAGCCACACTTGTTCTCACATTCCAAGAGCCAGAAGGTTTTCCATCTTCCAAAGCATCTTACACTTCTCCAACTGAGCTGTACGAAAGCCAGGGACCCTAACACTTAACCCCACAGCCCAGGGCTCCTGCAGCTGTGCTACCTGCAGGCAGGAATGACCAGAAATGATATGCATGCCACAGCCCAAAGCCAGGAGCACAGGCCAGGCAGAAATGAATGTGTCTGAGGTGACCCCTGGAGGAACAAGGCAACAGGATTTACTGCCCTTGGTGCTCTACTCAACACTCAACTGAAACTTCCAAAGTCAATACCTTCCTAGATGGTGCTTTTAAAAAATGACACTAGCACCCTGGCACTGTGGCATAGAGAGTAAAGCCGCCGCCTGCAGTGCCAGCATCCCATATGGGCACCAGTTTGAGACCCAGCTGCTCTACTTCCAATCTAGCTCTCTGCTATGGCCTGGGAAAGCAGTAGAAGATGGCCCAAGTCCTTGGGCCCCTGCACCTGAGTGGGAGACCCAAAGGAAACTCCTGGCTCCTGGCTTCAGATCAGTTCAGCTCCGGCCGTTGTGATCCAGGGAGTGAACCAGCAGATGGAAGACCTCTCTCTCTCTTTTTCTGCCTCTGCCTCTCTGTAACTCTGGCTTCCAAATAAATAAATAAATAAATCTTAAAAAAAAAAAAAAAAAAACAGTAAAATGACAAACATGGACTTTGCTATGGCACTTTACATGAATAAGAAAACAAATGCCATTGGCCTTCCATATCCATGCATCTGGGGTTTTAAGCTATCTTGGATTGAAAATAATCAAGAAAGAAAAATTGTGTCTGTCGTGGTGAACATGTAGACTTTTTTCTTTGTCATTTATTCCCTAAACAAGACAGTGTAGCAACTATTTGCATACAATTTTCATTTTATTAGGAATAAGTAATCTGAAGATAATTTAAAATATAGGGGAAAGGGACCAGCACTGTGGCATAGTGGGTAAAGCCACTGCCTGCAGTGCCAGCATCCCATATGGGCATCGGTTCAAATCCCACCAACTCCACTTCCGATACAGCTCTCTGCTATGGCCTGGGAAAGCAGTGGAAGATGGCCCAAGCCCAAGTGGGAGACCGGAAGAAGCTCCTGGCTCCTGGTTTCGAATCAGCACAGCTCTGGCCATTACAGCCAATTAGGGAGTGAGCCAGCAGATGGAAAACATCTCTCTCTCTGCCTCTCCTTCTCTCTCTGTGTAACTCTGACTTTCAAATAAATAAATCTTAAAAAAAAATAAGTAGGGGAAGATGTGCTAAGCTTCTATGCACAGTATTACACCATTTTCTACAAGGGACTTGAGTATCTATCTGCATTTGGGTATCTGGGAATCCTGGAACCAAACCACAAGAGATTACTGCAAACAAACGCTCACAAGGGCAGCTGACCTTCTTCCATTTCTCTCGCTCAGAAAGCTTTCTACATCCCCAAAATATAGATGTCCTTTTAACGTGTACGCAATAGAGAACACACTTTAGTATGCTGAATTCACAGCTGTCACTTGGGTAACCACCTGTCATCTCCCTCTGCTTATGGACTAAGTCAAGAGGGCAAAGAGGAGAAAGGAGGAACATTTGACAAAACCAATCGATTGTCCAGCACAGGGCTGATGTCTCTGTCTCTTCCCTTAAAAGGCTTCAAACACACTCCACAGCTCAGGGGCTCCTGCACATCTCAGGTAGGTGCTCTTCCAACGGGTTAAAGCACCAAGCAGGTTTTCAACAAAATAGCACCTCACTGGACACACTTTTGCTGCAGCAGGGGAAAGCAGAGGGAAACAGCAATTCATGAGTCAAGAACCACAATGAGGTGGAAACTTTACACTGCTGCTGCTGGGTCCACAGGGACAAAACGCAGAGAACCTGAAGTTATTCCACAGTTCCACGTGCACCTGGACTACTATGGCCAGTTGGAAGGACTAAGAGAAGCCACCCTGCAGAGCAGGGGGCAACCCTTGTCCTCCTCTGTGCACGCGGAAAGAACCCGCCCCCTCGCCCCGAGGGATTTCTCTCCTCTCTCCCACCCTGAGGAAACTTACAAAGCATGTTAAAGGCATTACAGGCTATTTCACTCTTTACTTCCATCTACATAACACATAGTCCCCCGCACTGGCAAGAGTATTCCTGGCTAGAAATGGCTGCTTTGGGTTTGCCATCATTAAATACATTTTCTAAACAAATTAATGTGCATTTCGTTTTCCATTAATGAAATGGGCCAAAGTAGGGGACTGGATGCTGAGCCTTCAGTTGGAGAAAGGACAGGAAAAGCTAACTCAGCTTTAAGATTCCCTTTTCTCGTCAGGGAATCGTGTCTCTAGATCAACACTAGGAAATGTGTTTCTACTCTTAAAAACGAGAGCATTCGCTCCTTTCTGTGGAGCCGAGAGTTAGGCGCTATTAGTATTTCCTTTGTATCTAGAGCACACCTGTAGCAAGGCAGCCTTTCTTGAGCCAGGGACACCTCAGCAGAGGAAGGCCGGGTTACAGGGCGCAAAGGGGTTGGCTGTGGAGGGAGAAGCCTTCCCAGAGGCCAGCTTCACCCCTTGCTCAAGGGAGGACATTTACAGCTGCGTGTGTCACCTCGCCGCATCTCACACGCCTCATCCTACACACAGGTTAGTGTGGAGCACACGTCCCGAGTCAGGAAATCCGAAGGTGTCACAACCCACGCCTTTTAAGCTATCAGAGCATTTGGGATTGCCAATTTTCAGATTCTGGATGCTCAGCTAGGAAGGGCTACACAGACACCACAAAGTCTGAACCGCTTCTGTCCTGACCCTTTCGGGATGAGGGATCTGTCTGTAATACGCATGTCGGGACAGGGTTGTGATCCTCAGGGAACGGGGCTGAGTGCCAGGGAAGCCCGTGGGAAACAGCCGAGTCCTCTTGATAGGGAATGCCATCCCAGTACCGGAACACACCTCCAGTTAAATACACCGGGCATGGAGGCTCCCTCCTGCGGCAGCCACACACGAAGGAGCCTTCCATTTCTCCCCACCCACCCAGTGAGGCTGGGGAGGGGGTCTCCCTTGGGGAGGCTCTGGGGAGGGTCGAATTTGCAGGCTACAATCACGAATGAAGGGCAGTGACCCTTCTCAGAGTCACATGAGGGGGCCTCTGGAAGTTAGTGGAGAGTGAGTAATGTGAAAACATAGTGCGTGGATTTCAGAATTTTTTGGCACCAAAATAAATATCTTTAAAGTGCCTTTTTTTTTTTCCAGGAATTTT